CCCCAGGTCAGGGGCGGCCCCCACAGCTGCCAGGTGCAGGCTGGCCAGTGGCCTGGGCGGAGCTTTGCAGGGCTCAGCCCTGAGTCCAGCCAGCAGACAGGTTCTACTGGCCCAGGGTCTGCTGTGAGGCGCGCGCGTGCGTGTGCATGTGCGTGTGCGTGTGCGTGTGCGTGTGTGTGTGTGTGTGTGTGTGCATGCATGTGGGCAGGTGTGCCCATGTACTCTTAGGGCAGCCAGGACTATCTTCTCAGGTCCCCTGAACCTTCAGCCCATCCCCCTTCCTCCCTCCCCCTCCTCCCCCTCCTCCTCCCTCTCCTCTCCTTCCTCCTCCTCTCCCTTCCCCTATCTCCCCTTTTCTCTCTTCCCTCCTCCCTCATTTCTTCTCCCTTTCCCTTCTTCCCTGTCCCCTCCTCTCTCTCCCCTCCTCTCTCTGCCCTCCTCCCCTCTCTACTCCCTCCCTTTCCACTCCCCCCCTCCCCTCTTCTGGTCCAGACTGGGCTGACTCACTCTGTGAACCACCAGAAGGACAGGCGAGACAGGAAGCCAGCTCTCTTCTCTGGGCAGGGATTCTAGAAGGCAAGAAAAAGAAAGGGGGGCAGTGGATGAGGGGGCCGCAGCCGAGGAGGAAGAGGTCCCCTCGGAAGATCAGGGTAGAGCCTGGGAGAGTGGAGGGCATGGCTGCAGGCTGGCGGGGCTGGAGCCAGGGAACCCCAGCACCGACGCAGGCCTGGGGAGACTCACCGGATCTGTGTTCTTTGGGGAGAAAAACGGTGCCTTTTCCCTGAAGCATGACAGGATCAGGGCCAAGAGCACCAGGGCGAAGTAGATGTAGAAGGTGGTGAAGCGGAAAGGCTCTGAGATGTGGCCCTGGGGGACAGTGAGAAGGTGCAGGTGAGAAGGGGCAGTCTAGGCCTGCATCCTGGCCCTCCCAAGGTCCCCCACCCCCACCCTGCAGAGGAGTTTAAGTGATGAGAAGGGGTGCATGCGTGCATGCGTGTGTGTGTGCGCGTGTGTGCATGCATGTGCGCACACATGTGTGCGTGTGTGTATGCATGTGTGTGCGTGTGCGCGCACGTGTGTATGCGCGAGCATGTGTGTGCATGTTGTGTGAGTTTCCGTGAGCATGCATGCATACACATGTGTGTGTGCATGAGTGTCTGCATGTGTATGTGTGTGCATGTGTGTGTGAGTGTGTGTGTGCATGTGTGAGTGTGTGGGCATGCATGCGTGTGTGTGTGTGCGTGTGTGTGCGTGTGCGTTCCAGGAGGACCTGCACTCCCCAGACATCACAACCAGCTCTTCCGGTCCCATCTAGCCCTCCCCAAGCTCGGGGCTCTATGCTACCACACTGCTACCTAGGAAATGGGGTTCCACAAGGTCATGCAATTTGTTCAATGTCATTAAAGCAGGTGTTTCTCCAGACTGGGCTCGGAGACCCCATGGAGCCCATCTGCCCCCGCCCCACCGCCCCCATTACAGGGAAGGTCAGGGACTGCAGAAGGTGGAGAGACGCAGGAGGAAGAGGCTATGGGGCTGGTGGATGAGCACGGAAGGTCCGTGCATGTCTGTACACATGTGCACACAGGGGGACCAGCAGGCGTCTCAATCACATCTGGCATGGGGTGGGGGAGTCTTGCCCCTTTCCTCTGGCTGCACTGCTTCCCCACACTGCCCCCCACCACGTCTGGTCAGTTTCCGGGCAGAGAATCCACCACTAGGAACCACACCCAAGGTCCTCCCAGGGAGCCCGTGGGAGGGCAGAGGGGCACCCTCCCATCTCCCCACGATACAGGCAGTAGAGCTGAGCCCCGAGGTCACCCTGACACAGGGCTGGAGCACGCAGGCTTACCTCAGCCACGGCAGAGAGGATCTTGGAGCGGAAGGGCACGATGGCACAGAGCACACACAGGAACCAGAAGATGATGAGCACCCCCGAGGACTGCACCCCCCGCAACCGCTCGTACTGGATCAACAGGGTGGCCAGCAGCTGCAGGCGGCGGGGACAGAGCGTGCCCGTGGGAACTCAGGGGGTCACGGGGGTCTGGGCTGGTCCCCATCCCCCCCACTGTTGTGTCCCCAGAGACCCTGGGCGCTCCCCCCATCATGATCGCACCACCCACCTGCCACAGCCCTGCACTAACCATAGTGATGCCCACCACCAAGGGGGTGACGAAGAAGATGGGGGCCGGGGTCTTGCCATGAACCAGGCCGTGGAAGGAGTAGAAGAGGTCTGCCCATGACACACACCACAGCAGGAGGCCCAAGACCTGACAACGAGGCACCGCGTTGGCACGTGCACGGCCAAGGGTGGGTACAGGACCTGCGGGAGCAGCTTTTGTTGCTGCAGCCACTAGAGCTTCCCTGGGCCCTGGTCAGTGGGCAGGGCTGGGCCCTAACTGGAAGCTTCTTCAGAGCAGTGTGAACTTCACCTTCCCTGAGCGCGAAAGACCCCACATGGCTGTTGGCCAGCTGGCCGGGGCCCATAACTGCAAGCGGCAGGTTGGGCAAGCCTGGGGGACCCCACCCTTTGACACGACGCTTCTGGGCCCCGGCCCACCCCCGCCCCGCTTCGGGAGCCCCTGACCGTCTTGATCCGAGACAAGAGGGAGAGGGTGATGTAGCCCTGGTGATGGTGCCGCAGGTAGAACAGGTAGCAGGGCAGGGTAGTCCACAGGTAAATGCAGGGGATCCAGGCCAGCAGCGAGTTCTGGAAGCAGGGCGTGAGGTCCGGGGTGTCTGTGTGCAGGGACAGATTAGAGTCCTAGGGAAAAAGAGGACATTCAATGTACCGCCTGCCTCCTGGGGACCTCTCTCCAGGGACGAGGCTGCAGCCCTCAGAGCCCTCTTGGGACCGGAAGAGAGTTTTATGGGGGGTCCTGTGGCCAGGTGCTCTGGGGAGGCTGCGGCAGCTCCAGGGGGACGATATCCACCGGCTTCCACTCTCCCTCACTGAGGAAGAATGGAAGGATAAGAAAAATGTGCCCAGGGCTGGAGCAATAGCACAGTGGGTAGGGTGTTTGCCTTGCATGTGGTCAACCCAGGTTTGAAACCCAGCATCCCATATGGTCCCCTGAGCACCACCAGGAGGAGTTCCTGAGTGCAGAGCCAGAAGTAACCCCTGTGCATTGCCAGGTGTGATCCCCCCCCTACCACCACCACCCAAAAAAAAAAGCAAAAAACAAAAAAAAATGTGCCCCTAGAGTCTGAGCAATAGCACAGAAGAGAGGGCGTTTGCTTTGCAAGAGGCCAACGTGGGTTCAATCCCCGGCACCCCATATGGTTCCCCAAGCACCACCCGGAGTGATTCCTGAGTGCAGAGCCAGGAGTATTCCCTGAGCATTGCTGAGTGTGGCCCCCAAACTAAAAAAACCACAAATGTGCCCCATCCAGAGTCCTTCGGTATCCATCCCTGTCCTGAGAGTCTGCCAGAGAGAGAGAGAGAGAGAGAGAGAGAGAGAGAGCGCAATGAGAGGCAGGAACTGGCCCGCTGTGCCGTCTATGGAGTGAAACCATGGTAAGGAGATAAACTTCCTCAGTGGTGAGTTCCTGGACAGGCCCCATCAGCTTTGGGCTTCTAATCTATCTGTTTTCTAGTTTTCCTCCCTTCCCTCCTTCCTTACCTTCCTCCTTTCCTTAACTCCCTACTCTATTTCCTTTCTTTGGTCTTTGGGTTATACCCACCATGCTCGAGTGCTCCCTGGCAGTGCTCAGTGGACCCTGTAGTGCCAAGGATGGAAATGCGGGTCACCCACATGCAGAGTTTAACCCATGGGGCTCTCTGGCCCTTTTGGAATGGTGATCTGGGAGCTGGGGCACTTTGGCCACACCTGGTGGTGCTCAGGGCTTAGTCATGGCTTTGTGCTCAGGAATCACTCCCAGAGGGCTCAGGGGCCATACAGGATACCTGGATCAAACCCGGGTTGGCTGTGTGCAAGGCTAACGCCCTACCCGCTGTACCACCGCCCCGGCCCCAACCAAGGATGATTTTTATTTATCTTCTGCGGTGGTAGATAGAATCCAGGCTCACACATTCAAGCCTAGTGCTCCTGGGCCAAGCCACGACCCCAGCCTGAGGTTGTTTTTTTTCTATCAAAGCACATGATGCAGCTCCCACTTCCGCTTTCACAGAGACTTTCTCACAGAAAGGCCGAGAGTTCCCCTGAGCCTGTGTCGCCTCTACTTTCAGAGTGGGAGGCCTTGCTCCCCTCACTCTCACTCCGCTCCTACCTCGCTGGGGGAGTTGGCGAGACACCTTTGTAAGTTTCAAAGCCGAGGTGGCCCTACCCAGGTTTGCACAGGACCCTCCTAGTCTGTCACCACGGAGAGTCTGGAGTTTGGCAGGGCCACTGAGCCCCCTCGGGTCCCCCTCTCTTTGTTTTCGTACCAAACAACTTTGCAAAAGAGATGGAAGAAAACACTCAAACATGCATTTTCCTGGGAATTGTTTCCAACCAAGGCCACCGTTGGGCCAAACTTTTTCTCCTTTCCTGCATAGCAATAGACATTGAAAACAGAAATAAGGAATAGGGGAAATCCAACTCCAGCCCCATGCACCTGTCAAGAAAGGAGCCATATCACTGGTGGAGGGATGGGTACTTGATCATTGTATAACTGAAACCCAAGCACAAAAATTTGTAAGTCTACAACTGTACCTCATGGTGTTTCACTAATAAAAACTTAAAAAAAAATAAAAAAGAAAGGAGCCATGAGGCGAGAGAGAGAGAGAGAGAGAGAGAGAGAGAGAGAGAGAGAGAGAGAGAACAGTGAGGAGGGCGCTGGCCTGCCGTGCTATCTGTCCTGAACGCAACCTCCACCCCCAATTATTTTTTGGTTTTGCTTTTTATGTATTTGTCAGTGATTCTTCCCCAACTCACCCACAGAACTCAGAAGCTCTGCTACTGGCTCAAATGCAGGCAGTTATTTCCCTGTTCCTCCCCTGCCCTGGAGTGCCTGCACCCTGTCCCCCCTACCCCCCACCCCATGAATTTCTCTCAGTCTGCCTTCACACCTGCCTGCAGCCCTGGGCCTACCCAATTTTCTAAATCACTCATCTTCCCCTTCTTGACTAGACCCCCCCTTACTTCATTGGCACACACATTTCTGCCATCTTCTGATAAAAGATGCCTGAAGAATTGTTCTTCTTTTTTATTTTTTACTTGGGGTTGGGGGTGGGGGCATTGGGTCACACCTGACAATGCTCAGGAAATACTCCCGGTGTCATGCAGGGGTCAATCCTGGCAGTGGTAGGGGGGCTATGTGTGGTTCCAGAGACTAAAGTGGAGTTGTGTTCCTGTTCTTCTTAAAAAAAAAATTGGAGGCGCCAGCAGGTCAACCTGTGCCAACCTGTCGGGTGAGTGCATCAGCAGCCTGATGGTGACTTCTGGGATTTCAGGAAACCCCAAACTTGCCGCTGTGCCTCTGGCCAGACCCCAACAACTTGAGACCAAGTTTCCCAAGAAATTAAAGGGTCAAAAGTTAGGTAAGTGGGAGCCATGCCCACAATCTGCTTCCAGCTCAACTATACAAGTTCATTTTTTGGCCTTGCTTCCGAACCCCATAAATAAATCTCGAAAGAGATCAAAAGCTGCAGTTAATCTCGGACCCTCACAAGACTGAACAGATTGGGGCAAATCAGGGAAGGCAGGTCAGCCTGGTGCCTACCCAAGCAGAGCTCCTGGCAGCTTCTTGCTCCCATAATCCAAAATTGTTGCATGCCCCTGACCAGACTCCACCATCTCAGGACGGATCTAACAGAGATATTAACCTGTTGAAAATTCAGATATGCGGGTTTCGTGACTGAAACCTCCAGGCTTTCTCAGAGTTGGGATGGGCTACCTCCCCCAACTTCCCTATACTCCTGGAAGCACCAGCAGTCATGCCAATGAAGCAACTCCAGTGCCACCATGTAAGCTCTACTACCACGCTTGCTCCAGAGATCCATAAATAAATCTCAAAGGAGATCAAAAGTTAATCCTGGACCTGAACAAGGCTGACCAGACTAGGGTAAATGGGTGTGTGTGGGGGGGAGGGGGGATGGTCATCCTGGTTCCTGCTCAAGTGGAACCCCTGGCATACACTTGCTTCCACAATCCAAAATTGCCCCCATGCCCCCAGTCAGACCATCTTGGGACGGACTTACTGAGACAGTTTGCTAAAATTCAGATATGTGAGTTTTGTGACTGAAATATCCAGGCTTTCTCAGGGTTGGGATGGGCTACTTCCTCCTACCTCCCTGTACTTCTGGAAGCTTTGGCAGTCAAGCTGCCACCCAGTTAATAAAGTTACTCCAGTTGTACTTTCCCAATAAAAATACTGAACGCCCTGAGTAAACATGATGCCCTCTTAGTACCTGTATTGCAAACCAAAATGCACAAAAGGAGAGACCGAGAGAAAGAAGAAAAGTGCCTGCCATAGAGGCAGGCTGGGGGGGTGGGTGGGAGTGGCAGGGCACTGGAGATGGTGGGAGGGAAATGGGGGACATCAATGGTGGAAAATGTACACTGGTGGAGGAATGGGTGTGGGGTCATTGCATGACTGAAACCCAATCATGAACAGCCTTGTAATGGTCTATCTCAAGGTTATTTAATGAAGAATGAAAAACAAAAACAAAATTGGAAGTCTGAATTTGTCTTCATTGGACTATCTGGGTTGAATTTTGACTTAGTATCTTTCCCAACTCTCTGAGCTCAACCCAAGCCTCACTTCCTACGGGAAGTCTTCCTAGGATTCTCCACCCTCCGATAAAGGCTGGTTTCTGCATTAGCATGTGTGTACTCAGTAGTAAACAAAATGACTTCTAACAGGACAATAAAGCCTCCTTGTATCTCTGACATTTTATTAGTGAACTTACATAGTGATCATTTGGTTGTTTCAGAACTTCTAGAAGTAGAGAGAAAGGATTTTGTTGAGGACTGGTTTGCAGAGAGAGAGAGAGAGAGAGAGAGAGAACACATGAATGAAACACATACACACTCTCTCACTTTATCTCTCTCTCACACACACAGAGTAAACAGAATAACAGCTGGATGTACTTACTGGGGAAACGGGTCCAAGTCCATCTGGGCCGTATGGAGCTGGGACAGACTCTCAGCCTAAGACCCCATGTGGGGTCACTCCCCAACCCTTACCCTTGGGCCCTGCACCTGTCTCCAAGGGCAAAGTGACGGGGCCCTGAGGACAGACACGGCTGAGTGAGTCGTCTCCTACTCCTCTTCTCTCCTGCCCACATCCACCTACTCCCAGCCCTGCGCCAGGCAGGAATGAAAGGTGTGTGCATTGCACAGCAAAGAGAGTTGGGGTGGGCGTCCTGGAGCTGGGCCGAGGGAGAGGCAGGACCACTGGCTGTGTCTGCCAGGCGAAGGCAGGTGGGGAGTGGCCACAGAAGAGCAGAAGCCCACAGGGAGCCCCACAGAATGGGGTGGGGGTGGAGTGAGTACCTTGTCCTTGCTGGACCTTCATCTCCAAGTCCCCCACCTGTGAGTGATGGGAAGGAGAGCAGCTTGCCAGCTCCCCAGCGGGGGTGTGGCGAGGATTGAGACACCCAGGAAAGCACCAAGACTCATTCAGGGCCATGCCTGGGCGGGGGGTGGGTGTTGGAGATCAGAGTCCCTTTCAAGCTTGGATTGGTTTCATAGGCATTCCACGTGTGATGCCAACAGCCAAGAGGCAGTGGGGCTGTGAGCGCCCACAGGTCTGTTCCATCCCCCCACACACCAGGAGGTGCAGTCTGGGATCCTTCCTTCAGAGAAGCAGGTGCTGGCC